TGGTGTCTCTCTAGGAAGATGTTCTGCTCCTGAATCAGCTGGGTGGGTCTTACCTCTAGCCTCTTTACAGGGAGTTCTGCTGAAGGGTTCCCTGCTGGGCCGGCAGCCTGGGTTGAATGAGGATCTGTGGGCCTAGGTCGTCTCACTCACTGACCGGACCTGTGCTCTGGGTCTGTTCAGGATCCGGAGGGACCCAGGTCATCTCTCTCACTCTCCAGACCTGTGCTCTGGGTCTATTCAGGATCCCACGACCCAGGTCGTCTCACTCACTTGCCAGGCCTGCGCTCTGGGTCTGCTCAGGATCACGCGGCCCGGATCATCTCACTCACTTGCCGGGCCTGCGCTCTGGGTCTGTTCAGGATCTTGCGGCCTGGGTCATCTCACTCACGCGGGGCCTGCGCTCTGGGTCTATTCAGGATCCCGCGGCCCAGGTCTTCTCACTCACGCCAGGCCTGCATTCTGGGTCTGTTGACGGTAAGATATTTTAGTATGATTTTTACTGTAAATGATCTTGTCATGAGATAGTTAATCTTGTAGTTTGCCAGTTAGTTGCCAACTTTTCAATTTACTTTGTACTGTATGACTGCTGATAATAACAGGAGTCCATACTTATTGGGCACTCACTGTATGCCATGCACTGTGTGCAAGTGCTTCGCATGTATGATTTTATGTAATATTGAAGACAACCTCTTGAAGACATGCATTTGTGTCCCATTTGAAAATTAGTAAATAAAAACACTTACAGACACCCAGTGATTTCCATCTTTAGTAAGCAGAGCACCAAGTAAAGCAATTAGTCAAACTATTTAGCCAAACTATTAAGGAAGAAACTAATCCATAAAATTAAGCTTATGAGTCATGACTTGGGGGTTATATTTTAACCTAAAATTTACTTTTACCTCTACATATTTTCCTCAAAATTTAACTACTTTCTCTCCCCTCTTATTTACTTTTATGATAGTAATTCTCCATAACAATCTTATTTACATAAGATTACTAAGGATCAAGAGTAATATCATCAGCATAAATGATAACTTTTTGGCCAGCCATATAGCTCAGCGGATTAAAGGGCCTGCAAGTTGGCCTGCCGTGGAGGCCCCGCCCCTGCCCCCCAGTGCGCTCTGAGATGGCAATTGAAACTGGGCTCGGCGGCAGGTGCCTGAAATCCCAGCTTTTGGGAGGCTGCAAACAGGCGGATCACTAGGAATCCAATCTAGTAGTGAGACCCGAGCACCCTGTAGTCCCTTCCCTAAAATACAAAAAAAAAA